TTGTTGCCAGTTTGCAGCCGGTTCGTTGCCAGTTTGTTGCCAGTTTGTTGCCAGTTTGCAGCTGGTTTGTTGGTGCTGATTCGGTGATTCTGGCTCTGAGTTTGAGACCAGTCCAACACTTTTCTGTGTTTTTCAGAGAGAGTCACCAAAGTGTGCAATCCCGATGGCCAGTGGTTCCACCACCCGAAGAGCAACAGAGTCTGGTCCAACTACACCGAGTGTTCAGCCCACTCGAAAGTCAAATTAAAGGTAAAGCATGACCGCGAAGCTACCGGGCAACTTTCTTCAGCCGTTAATGGGATTTATTCCGTAATATGAGATCAGATCATTCTGAAATAGGATCCCTGGTTCTCCTAAATTAACATTATCTTTATAACTTCAAGCATTTAGAAAAGAACAGTCATATCCAACACTAGTTTTGTTTTAGTCACTTAACTTTTTTTCCACAAAAGCAATTAAACGATAATATGATGACATTAAATGATAAATTGGGAATTTAAGTGTGACTGATCTTCAAATGGAAGCAACCTAAGACAGATGTTGATATCTGAGAGTCAGAAGATGCTTTGGCGTGGGCAGCTAAGCATATCAACATTATCTGAGAGCAGTCTGGACTCGCTGACTTCTGCCCCGAACACACTGTAAACTGCTGGGTGCGCTTTGCTTTCTTAAAGTTACAATCCCTTCAAATCGGCGTCTATAGAATCAAAGGTTAGCATAAGATGGGACTTTGATTGCGTGCCTCTTTCAGCCTCTTTGTGAGAGGTATCTCTCTGTGAATGAGGTGCAATAAAACGAGTCCAATGTTCACAATCGACTCCCAGTTTGATGTTTTGCTCTTTCGATGAGCTTTGTGTTTGTGTGGCGGTTTCACAAAATGGTTTTAACAAATTAGTTATGAAGCTTGCCAAACATTTACTATTAAATTATCCACATTTATGCCTCATTTGATGTCTGTTTATCCCCCATATTCTTGGCTATTTCCAGATGTATAGACACAGTACAACTGCTGAATGTTGACGTCAAATGAAAACAATCTCTGTTTTATATACAGTATGAGTCACAAAGTCACCTTACATTTCAGAACCAAAAGGGAAAACGACATATCTGAATACCCCAACCAGTAAAGGCTGAGGGGGCCTATCTTTTGTTCTATGTCCCGAACATCGAAGACCAGAATTGTCTCATAAGTCCATTAACACAATCAGATTAGCAATATCTCTATATAGACACATACATTTTCAAAAACAACTGGGAATCTTGGCTGGGAAGCAGCTGTTTAATGTGTTCGGCACCAGGACAGCGCATTCATATGTCATTTTCCCCTTTAGTTTCTGAAATAAAACGGTGTCCCGTGACTTTCGACCCACCCTGTATATATAAATGAGTATGTCTTACATAGAGCGTCACATTTTTTAAACTTTTGTCATGTTCCTGTAGCTTGCGATGAGCCTGTACTTCATGGCTGTGGTGGGTCATGGCCTCTCCATCGTCTCCTTAATCATCAGTCTAATCATCTTCTCCTATTTAAAGTGAGTGAAACGAGAGCTTCCCTCAGTGAATTTAATAACTGTTAAAGAGCATTAAGAATATGAGTGGAATTATGGAGCGTGTGAATAAAGCGAACTCAAACTAATCTCTGCTTGGTCGTTTTTCCACCTTTCCCTTTCTTCCAGCAGTCTTAGCTGCCAGAGGATTTCCCTCCACAAGAACACGTTTTGCTCCTTCATCCTGAACTCCATAGTTACCATCATGTTCCTTTCTGTCACTGTGGCCGGTAACGAAAACATCCGAGCCAGCAACCCTGTGAGTCGAGGTCCGATCGGGCCGTGCTGATGACAGTTTGCGAAGTCGCATTCATAGAGCTTATAAGGGGGTGCCATTTGTGTTTTTGGATGGTCGTTTCATGGGTTAAAACGTCCCCGTAAAGAAAGAAATCGTGATTTGTCGCCATCAGGTGAGCTGCAAGATCCTGGCGGTGCTGACTCAGTACACATGCACGTCCAACTACTTCTGGATGTTGTGTGAGGGCATCTACCTCCACACGCTCATCATAGTGGCCGTGTTCGTAGGGGAGCAGCAGCTCTTCTGGTACTACATCCTGGGATGGGGTGAGTAGAAATGCTCAGGCGTTTCGATGAGACTTTAAACACATCTCTGGTGACAGATTAAGTGCAAGATGTCATTTGCACAGGCCTCAAAATGTGGGAATGAACTGAAAACATGTCAGATCTCTTCTTGGAATATAAACACCAGACATTGTAAAGGAATCTAATCACAGCTGCCGCTTCATAAAAGCTTTAATCAAGTACCAATGAGCTCTTATCAAACATCACCAGTTGTTTTTTTTGCATCACTCCAAGCAGACTGTTTGAACACTATCTTCAAAAAACTAGCTCCCAAGCTTATTCTTATTAAGACTTTCAAAGCTCCAACAAATTAGTGTTTGGGGCTGTTTTACCATAGCAGGACTCAGAGTACTTGAGTAAATTAGGCTAAAAATGCGTTTTTGTACATTTTGTTCACACTGTGTGTATATGAAATCGTTTTTTTCTATTTTGGAGCACTTTTTGCTGTTTATACTCACTCCATCGTTTTATCTAAAGCTCATTGTGATACAGAACATTTTCGGGTGCAACACAAAAATGTATGCTTTACATTTCCCGTAAGAGAAACAAAGTGGAGCACAAAAAAGGATTTTTGAGTGAGGTTACACATTTAATCTCTCCATGTCTGTATTTCCAAACCTCAGGACTGCAGGTAGAGTCACAAACAAACTTCTATCTAACTTCTATCTCCACTGCTATTCAGCATGCCTCTGTACATCTATTTAATCCCTCCAAACGTCTTATATGTAACCAACGGCTTTTATGCGGAGGCTGTTTAAACAGAGATTTAACACTTCCCTATTTACGGTTTCCGGATTGACATATGACTCTCAGCAGGATAACAAAGAAAGCTCAGGAACTTTAGGTCTCAGAAGCCTTTGGTGTGGATCTGATGAGCGTGTGTGTTTGTTTTTCTGTCCACAGGTTTCCCCATCGTGCCTGCCATCACGTTCGCTGTTGCTCGTGGGCTCTACTTTAATGACATGTAAGCAGTTTGTCCACTACGTTAGTGTGGGCCTGACCCTCTACAAACATTAACTATGCAAGCTTTAATCAACACCTCTGTCGTTTTTATGTAGTTATCGACACGCTAATCATCGATATTCTCCACTATCCAGTTTTGCTTGTCTTGACTTTGACAAATAACCGAACAGGAAATATTCAGTTATCATTGGTGAATATCTGTTTTTTTTGTGTTTTTTTTTCATTTTTCTCGCAACCAAATGTTTCACCATATCAAAAAAAGAAAAAGAAGCTCTCATTTCTCAGAGTTGTAGAGTCATATAGGCATAAAGGGTGGCAGGGACTCGGTTTAATTGGTCTGTGTGGATATGGATGCCTTGTTTTTGGTGCTCCAGATTTATTCCCAGAATTCAGTCAGGATCCTCATGTTCTTGTTTGTTTGTCTTGTCAGGTGTTGGATCAGCACAAACACACAGTTGGTCTACATCATCCACGGGCCCATCCAGGCCGCGCTGCTTGTGAGAAACTCTAAAAGGACATATAGCCTTTGAGTTTGGGTCATTTTTAAAACCTAATGCTAACTGCATTCAGATGAAGATTGAATAAAAACCTTGTGACTACTAACAAGCTCTGAACTTGCGTGTTGCTAGTTCCATAGCTTTTCTAATCCCCACTCGACTGTCATTCATCCAGGTGAACTTGTTCTTCCTGCTGAATATCGTTCGAGTTCTCATCACCAAACTGAAGCGAACGCACTGCGCTGAGTCCACAGCCTACATGAAGGCGGTGAGAGCCACGCTCATCCTCATCCCTCTGCTGGGCGTCCAGTTCATCCTCTGGCCGTACAGACCAGAGGGACACATCAGCCAGGCCATCTTTGAATTCTTTATGATCATCTTCTCCAACTTCCAGGTACGCTAAACAGTAATTCCCACGACAGAGTTTTTAAACACAATGTGGAGGCGGACTTATCTCTGGAGATATAACGAATGGAGGCGTGACATTTTTTTTTCCCGTATCGACATTTATTTGTGCCTTCTCACTCTGCAGGGGCTCATGGTGGCCATTATATTCTGTTTCTGCAACGCTGAGGTACGTCAAAAATATTTTAAATCACATATGCAACATATATCGGAGAAGGCGAGCTGTCATAAGTTCAGTCCACTGAAACCCTATGAGGGATTTGGGTTGAGATTTGAGTTTTGAAAGCCCAATGTTTAGTAAATTCACAGGTTGTTAACTTGCTTTTCGAGGTTAACATGATTCTGCAGTTACTCTGAAACGGCCTCTTTCAGGAAAATGTTTTTCTTTCATAAGTGATGTCTTTAGTTTCAAGATGAAAAACCTGAATTTCAAACAAATAGTTTACAGTGTATGTGGAGTCCAGCCTTTTTTTGTAGCCTCTCCTCTTTGTAACCTTTCAGACCGCTTGCATTCCTAAAACTGTTATGAAAAAACATCACTTTACTGGCTCTTTATGTTATCAATTTATGAGGGGCGCCACATTTTAAATTGACTTTCGATGATCTAAATGTTGATGTGCAGGCTCAAACAGCGATGAAGAGGAAGTGGGCTCAGTGGAAATCCGCCTGGGGCTACACTGGCTGGGGAGAGACGCCTGCCAACAGCAACCACTTTAGCTACCACACCAACTCCTCCATAGCCGAGACCAGCCGCGCCACGGTGAGCCCGGAGCAGCCCGCCGCCACCGCCACACCCGTCCAGCCCAAAGGGAACTGCCACCAGATGGCCCTGCTGCACCACAAAGCCAGCAGCCAGGAAAAGACCAGAAAGCCATCAACCAACGGGGAGGTGGACATTAACAACATGCTGGAGACCTCTGACATCTGAGCGGATGAAGGCTGTGCCGCAAACCCATTAAGTACACCACAACTGAAAAAAACGGATATTTAAATAAGAAACAAACACGTACGGGGCTACTATCTGGAGAACAATCAAACATGCGATGTTTCTTGTGCATGCACTTCCATTTTACAGGAGCCAAAGTCTTTTTGTTTCTTGCAAAAACCAATAGGGAAATACAATTATCACCATGGTGCCACCGTAAGTTCTAATTTTGTCTTTTGCTTTAATCATGTCAACTTATGTATTTTGGTTGGTTTTGTGTACTGTATATATTTTTTCTATACGATTCACTGCCATATGACGTACAGTACATGGACCTACGTCTGTACAGTCCGCTGCCCTGTGGAGCCTCTGGACGCTTTAGCCTCGCACCACTGTCACTGATGAATATCTCTGGCTGCTCGCGTGATTTCCTGTGTTGTACATGCCTTAAAAATGAAAAGGACATTTTCAATCTGTGATTATTTTTTAATAATGGTCTCTTTTTTAAAACGTAATAGCTTTCTCACCCCATTAAAGAATACTTTACTCACATTTCCCAACAAAAACACAAATAGCATTTAGTGTACAAAGGAGTTTATGGGGGCCAAAGCATCTTGAATTTATACCGCAGAACATCATGAAAAATATGTTTTAGACACACAAACCCGAGTAACTATATAAAAAGTTGAAATGTAATACCACATACAAACGGGTTGTGACATTAGCATCAGCCTCTCGCCAAATGTGGGTAAAACCAGAAGGTAGCTGATGAATTTGAATGTGTTATTTTCTTAACTCATGCCAGTACGGATACAAAGGCAAAAGGGATTAAGTTCACATGCAGTATGTTCAGGATCAATTAAGCCTGTGGAATCATGTATTTAAGCAGAGAATGCAAATTTTAAAAATGATTTTTCTGTTCATTCTTTTATTCTAAATTGTTTTTGGGAGACAAAAAATGCCCTCTGGTTTGTAGTTTGTACAATATTTGTTTTGTGTGTAATACAGCAGATCTTTGATATGGTGAGCTTTAATACGATTTAATAAGAGCTCAAAATGACAGAATTTACTGACAAGCCTGTGTCCACTGTTGGAAATAAATGTTTTTTTTATTTCATTATTCTGTCTCTGAATCACTCCCATTCTGCCAGCCCCTTCCATAAAAAAATAAAATAAATAAAAATAAAAGATTATACATATATATATATATATTATATATACATATTTATATATAAACAGCTTGTTGTATTCCTGTTTATTTCCTTTGCATTTCACTGCTATTACTCTTTGGGCCATTTGTTGTTTCTACCAGCTCTAAAATGTTTTTTGTCCTGTTGCACAAATGTAATTTACTTCCATTTTACCTACATGTAATTTAATCATCTTTTCACTGCACATATACCACACTGTGTCTGTCCTGGAGGACTGCAGTTTCCACTGGACATATTGAGAAGCTCATGTCACAGTGCAAGTTGGTACTAAGCTAAATGGATTTAGTTTTCTTTTAAAATATGCATAATTCAAATATGGATGCTACCATGTCAATACATCGGGGTATAGTCCTATAAAGTTAAAAAAAAAAACATTCTTGTCCAAAGAGGAAAGCTAATGAGACTGCTTTGTTAAAAAGTATTAAATTAGTTCATGTCAGCCAGTGCTGCACAGGAGAGAGAGAAGTGTTGTATTTGCAAATATTTTTGAGAAATATTCCTATAAATCATCCATTTATAGGAATAAATTAGTAAAATTACTAATTTTAAGCTCAGTAATGTTTATATTTGATCACAGGTGACAACATATTCCTTAAAATCAATTTGTTTGAACAATAAGTGATGCGTTTTAAGTATTTTACTTACTTGTTTTACCAGTTAAAGGTAGATTGTATCGTTTAAAAAATCGAAAAAAAACCAGAACGTTCCAAAACTGAAAAAATTCTTGTTTAATGTATGGATGGAAAAGGATGAGGTCCCACCGAGATTTGAACTCGGATCGCTGGATTCAAAGTCCAGAGTGCTAACCATTACACCATGGGACCAGATGGTACCGCTGTGAGGACTCGTAGGTATTTAATGGATATACAACTCATCATAACACCCGGATAAACGTTGAATCATATGCGGGACACCATGTCTGCGTCCAGTACATATTTCTTAACGTGAACACAATCAAACAATAACAATGAAATCATCGTCCGCCAATATAATTAGCCACATGACGTTAGCTTGGCCAAGGACAGTGCCCTGTTAGCTAGCATGCTAACAGGGCAGGTTTGGAGTGAAGCGAAACCCTCCTACATTTCAACCTACGCCAGAATACGCAGATGAAGAAGCCAAACTGGTGTGGAAAGTAAATTAGTGCGACCAGAAAGGTCATATTAAGTATGTAAAACCCCCAACAACTGCCGTTGTTATGTTTACGGTTTCGTCATCGTTCAAACTCTTGCTGACCTGTAGTTACACTAAATGCCACGTGGGGGCAGCAGAGTCTGCATTTTTTTTGTAGGAAAGGGTGTCAAATTTAGGAAAAAATCTGAACTCCTCACCCTAACTCACACTCGGTCATGTTGAAGGTATTTTCGTGGCATGTTGTGGCCCAGAACCCACTAAACTGGATGTTTATAGGATACCTGTTTTGAGGCACTCCTCGAGTTCCATGCGTTGCCAAGGAAATGGGAAGTATGTGCATCATTTTCAGAACTTCCATTCATAAAATAACAAATTCTCCAGCCCTAAACTTTAAGGTAACAGTAATCTGATGCCGTTAGTTTTATGAGCTTGCAAATCATTCTCCTATCCTCCACTTAGCCCAGTTTTTAAGAAATATTCACATATACACTTCAAGCTTTTGGCTATAAGCTCCCTGGGAATCATCAGGTTGGTGCTAAAATACTCATGTTTGTCAGACTGCGTTGTCTTTGGCTTATGCAGTGTGCAGTGACTTAAAAAACAACACATTCCTCTGCAAAGTGACGTACAGGAATTACCGCTCAAGTGCGCTTAAAAGACTGCAGGAGGATGTGGCTCTCCCGAGGTAAAATAAAAAGAAACGAGTTGTAACTCAAGACTATCGCATTTCTACTTAATATTAACACATATTTGTGCTGATCCAAATCTTTACCAGTGATCTTTTTTTAAGGGGTAACAGTTAACTGTGATGTTGATAAAGGTCTACTCTTACATCATAAACCATGCCCCTGCACCCAAAGAATTATTGGTCATATATATTTAATAAAAAAAACTGATTTGCCTCAGCTCTAATAATATAACAGATAATTACAGAGTGCAGTGGATCAGCGTCTCTCTGGCTGAAAACCTATCCCGTTTAGCTCCGTTCAGCCACCGCTTAACAGAGAGGTGCCGCGAGGACACATTAACCTGATGTGTCCCCACGGCTTAATCTGGGCTAACAGCTTTCAGCACACACACTCACAGACTCTGTCATCACGATCTCAAACACGTGAGGAGAAGAAGACCCCTCCCACCTGACCCCTGGCCCCCTCAGTCCCAGTGCAGATTAGTATACGTGCACATGAACGGATCGTTAGGGGGACGCGGAGGATACGTGGAGACGTGCTCATGTGAGGGGCCGAGATGGAAATCAGAGTGCTGATGGACTTTGGGATAGATTTAACCCCAAAACCCCCTCAAACTGGAACCAGTTCCTCTGCACAGGCTCCAAATGGTTTGCCACTGTTCAGTTTCCCCAGTTTAGAAACCGCAACATATTTTAAACTATCATCTACAGCTACCAATGCAACAATCACTACACCAAGTGTTGATATTTTTAAAGTATTTGGAAGGAAAACTGGGAATAAGGTTGCATGCTTACCTCACACACAGCACAGAGGTCACAAACGAGCACACGGTGGTGTGAATGATCCTCTGCTTCTCACCCTCTAAATCCTATTTCAGCCATAATCTGAGTTACTTGTTTGTGGTCAGATCCACCACGCACATACAAACGACCTACCTGTCATGTAGGGCAGCACAACCCGGGTTTCTTTCACTCTTCTCCCTTTTTTTGTGCTGATATATGTGATACTTAATTTTGTTGTCATATTTGGCCGCTTTCTGAGGCTGTTTTCAGAATTCCCCATTGATGATGCGATCTTGATTTCAATCAGGTTACAAATCAGGACAGGTTTAGGGTCTTAGCAGCAGTGGTCCACGAACATGGTCCTAATACCTGGTCAGTGGGTCACTGGATGGATTTACTTTTGACCCGGTTTTTAGTTCTGTTGACTAAAAAACTTCAAATCAGATAAAAGTAAAGGCAATTTATGACAAAAAGCTGCTCTTCAGAGGCCTGTTCATTCAAAAGAAACAGAAATTCACCGCATTCTCCTCTTTAAATGCTTTGAAATATATCCATGGGCATCCAAACGTGTGACTGTTCGATATGCAAATCAAATGGGATGACGCATTTCTATATCTTTTACAGTTTTTTAGCCAATGAACAGTTGTCTCGTTAATGTTACAGGGCAAAAAGGAGAGGGCCACTCCATGTCAAATCACCAAGAGTTCCCTATAAGCAACATATTATCAATCAATCAACCAAGTTTAATTGAAATAGAATTTATCTTACAAAACAATATTGGGAAAATATATTCATACAAGTTATAGATATCAAAAATAAAATAAACAGCCATACCACCATACCCACCCAGATCCATAAGGGGGTTTTTAGCCATTTTTTTTGTTTTTGGCAGCTTTATGGTTTTGCTGTCTGTAAAACGATTTGTAGCGGCAGACAGTTTTGCTGCTGGTCTGTTTTGACTGAGAGGCCTGCTCAGATTTTTGAGGAAGTGGTTAATGAACACATTCGGTGTCAAATCAATGCAAAGATCTCATGATCTGCTGATGAGGTGAATGTGCTGTGCACTGTTTGAACGTCAACAAACGAGGATTTCTGATACATATTGTGAATAATGCTTAAACAAATGCGTCAGGGAGTCATCAAGCATGTCCTTTAAAAAGAAAAACCAGCTGCTTCACCAACCTGATGGTTACATATTGGGCTGATAAGCTAATGGCTACTTTTGCTGTTAGCTGGTGCATCCATGGAAGTCCAAAGTTAGTTAAATGTATTTGGAGAACTGTCACATTGTTCCAACTGATTCACTCTGGTACTCAGTGCTACTGTTAACTTCAAGCCAGAAGCTTTTCAGACTGCTCACATATCAGGAAACTGCAATGAAACTTCATAAAATGTTGCAGTCTGAACAACTGAGAGTTTATTCTCATAGCTTAGTTGGAGTGTTGATGCTTCCTTGAATCTTTCGCCCATCTCTATGATCCAAGTTTCTGTTTTTGACCCATTATCATACCCAATCTGTACCATGGCTGCTCTTCCTCTGTGATTCAGAAGAATTACACGGAAAGAAAAAGAAGAAAAATAGAAAAAACGTTCAGTTTGTCACTGAAAAGAAAATCACACTTCTTCTGTGGGGCATTATATCATGACATGGTACGCCTTATAGCGTGTAAAGTAATGAAATAATAAGAAGGATTAAGCTTGGCCAAAACCCACGGAACAGGGTTTCTGTCTGAAGTGCCACTTAAAATCCTGACGTGAAAAAGAGAAACCAGGGCATCTGGGACGGACCCACACAGTGAAAATCAGCTTTTTTTAATCCGCAGTCCTGACCGGAGACATTTTGTGTCCAGTTGCAACACCAAAACCGTGACATTGACCTCATGATGACTGACAGATTGCCATGTTTTTACAGGAAGAATAAAAAAACGAAGACATCTTTATGATCTGAATGGTTGCAATGTGCAAAAAAATTCTGATTTGATTTGGAATGCGCTGCTGGCTGGAAATGCAGTTTCACCACAAACTGACATAAATCAGGTGTTCGGACTGTCAGCTTTTAAGAAAAGGTCAGAGCAAATGTCTCTCATTTTTCTCTGACTTTAGGTTTAGGTTTCACATCCACAGACCTCACAGCATTTTCCGTCACTCTTTTTAAAATCCTGCAAGGCTCGATGTTGGCAAACGGTTTGTTTTCCTTGGAATGAGAATTACAGAGCGTGATCTGGATTTCTCACCTAAGAATGTTTGTTATGAGTGGAAGGATTCGTTTAGGAGGCAAAACTGGACACCGAGATTGTTGAAAACTCCATCCTGTTTGACCAGCCAGCTCACTAGTGCTTTTCTATTTTT